TTCGCTGGACTCCCATGTAGTCGACCGCAGTTCAAGTCCCGGACCCGGTGACTTAAACTCACGCCCGGCACATGTGCTTAGGTGCCCAAGATCCCAAGAGGAGAATGGAGGAGAAGGGATTGCGGCATGGCCATCCCCCTGGGGGATGATTTCTCGCTTTCTATCTCTCTGTCTCTCTGTCTTTCTAGTGAGCGCTCATGCCCTATAGCAAAAACGTCTCAAAAAAAAAAAAAAGAAGTCGTGACTATTTTCCTATGGGAGAAATATGTCATGAATTTTCTGACTTCCCAAAGTTAGAACCTCATCTGGAGCTTTTATTTTTTTTTTAAATAATTATTTTATTTAACTTTACTTACTTATAATTTGACCAGAGAGGGACAGAGAGAGAGAGGGAAAGTGAGAGAGCGAAAGTGAGAGAGCAAACCATCAAGTCTGGAACTCTCACTGTGGTTGGTCATATGAGAGTCCAGAGCCCTTATGAGAATCCCACCACACCACCTGCTGACCCCCATCTGGAACTTTTAAAATCTTAATTTCTTCTTTTTTTTCAGTTTGCCAGAGTGTGTGCACTTGCTTGAGGGGAAAGAGAAAGAGAAAACATCCCCTCATGGGAAATGATCATACTGCAATTCTTTCTGTTTTCCTTTGGGGATTTCAGATACAGATGCACACACACATAATGTGTTTTTGTTTGTTTGTTTGTTTGTTTTCCTTTGGAGAGGTTTTCACTGTAGGGTGCATGCGCTCGCCAGACAGACAGAGACAAAAAGCAAGAAATCACCCCCCCCCAGGGGGGGATGGTCACGCCGCAATCCCTTCTCCTCCATTCTCCTCTCGGGATCTTGGGCACACACACACGCCCGGTGTGAGTTTTAAGCCACCGGGTCCGGGACACGAACCGCGGTTGACTACGTGGGAGTCCAGCGACATAGCCATTACGCTAACTGCTGGTTCCCACATAATGTGTTTTTCATGCCCCTGTGTCCAGGACTTGAACTATGAGGTCAGCTATGTGCACATAACCTATGGCAAAAACCTTAAGAAAAAATATTAGGATTAGTTTATAAGTCACAAGTGTACACCTACACTTAATCTGTGCTCACAGAGATATTAGAGATGATATGAAGTAGATTGGGTTTTATCAGGGTAATAAAAATAATAGAGGTAAATAATAGAGTTACTTGGTATTTTGTCTACAGTTCCTTAACTTCTTATTTTGGGTCAGTACATACAAGTATATATGGTAGCACACCAGACTGTGGAAGTAGAAGCTGCATGCTGATCACAGTGAAAATCTCCTTTTTTTTTTTTTTTCCTGTAGGGCACATGTTCTTGCAGGCTGGAGGGGAGGAGGGATGCCCCTCCCCAGGGGGTTTTAGGATGGCCAAGCCACAGTCCCTTCTTGTCTTAGGATTTAATGCATGTTCACACAAACGCCTGGCTTGATTTTTAAGCCACTGGGTCTAAGACTGAAACCACACAGTTAGCCATGTGAGAACCAGTGCTTTAATGTTCCTGGCCCGACTAGTGACAATTCTTTTTTTCTTCTTTTGGAGAGGTTTTTTTTTTGCTATAGGGCGCATGTGCCCACCAGACAGACAGAGACAAACAGAGAGACAGGAACCAAGAAATCACCCCCCCAGGGGGGATGGCCACGCCGCAATCCCTTCTCCTCCATTCTCCTCTCAGGATCTTGGGCACGCATGCACACGCGCCCGGCGTGAGTTTAAGCCACCAGGTCCGGGACGTGAACCACGGTCGACTATGTGGGAGTCCAGCGACATAGCCATTACACTAACTGCTGGTCCCCCGACTAGTGACAATTTTTAGCAGTTCTGTTTTGTTTTTCTTTTTGAATGAGAGAGAGAGAGGAAGAGAGAAGAGCACATGCACACAGGGAGAAGGGTGGAGAGACGGGGGATTTTTCTTTTTGACAAGGTATCACTGTTACAGTCCTTTGCCCACTTAGCTAGGATTGTAGGGAGTACTACCGTGCCCAGCTTATTCAGATTGGTTCAGAATCCAAATGCAACCTTCCATATGGCCCTACTGTCTATACAGCAGTACCCTATCACTTGCACTACCTTGACTAGGCCCAATACCAGTTTTTTTATGTGTGCCAAACTGCATTTTGCATTTTTAAAAAAGAATTTTCATTAAATTAATTAATTATTTAATTTGACCAGAGAGAGAAAGGGAAAATGAGAAAGCAAGCTGCCAGTTCTAGGACTCAAACAGTAGGCGGCCACTTGGGAGTCCATTGCCTTAACCAGGCACCTGCTGGTCCCACCTTTTGCATTTTAAAAATACTTAGGTAGATCCAGTTTCTGTGGCACAGCTGGTAGCACACCAGACTGTGGAGTTGGTAGCTTTATGCCAATCACAATGCAAGTCCTCAGCCCAGGCAGCATAAAAACACAAAGATCATATGTGCACATGCCCAGGATTCTGGAAGGCTGAAGAACTGGAGGAAGGGAATCAGGCATAACTGAGCCCTGTGGAAGGTGCCCTTCTTTTTCTTTCAAAATGTATTTACTTAGCATTGTTTTAGTCTGCATTCAAAAAGGCAAATAATGATGTCAGAAAGTAAAACCAGGGACCAGCAGTTAGCATAATGGGTATGTTGCTGGACTCCCATGTAGTCGACCACAGTTCGAGTCCCAGACCCGGTGGCTTAAACTAACGCCGGGCACGTGTGTGTGTGCCCCAGATCCCAAGAGAAGAATGGAGGAGAAGGATTGCGGTATGGCCATCCCCTCTGGGGAATGATTGCTCATTTTCTGTCCCTCTCTGTCTTTCTGGCGAGTGCACACACCCTATGGCCAAAACCTCTCCAAAAAAAGAAAAAAAAGAAAGAAAAACCAAGTTAATAGAAAATTATAAGCAACATTAATATTAAACATTTTCAAATTAAGACAACTCTACATGTTGTTTAAAAGCAGTATTTTCTTTAAAGTCCTTTGTATTTCTTATAATGCCCTCCCTTTCTTTCTAATAAACCTAGCATGAATTTATCTAGAGTAGGCTTGTGGTGAGACTTGAGAATGCAAAATCTTATGAACCTGTACATAGAAAAAACATTGGAGGGACCACTGGTGGTGTGGTGGTTAAGGGCGCTGGTCTCCCAGATGGCTGACTGTGGTTTGAGTCCTGGACCTGGTGGCTTGCTTTCTCACTTTCTCTCTCTCTCTTTCTCTCTCTCTCTCTTTCTCTCTCGCTGTCCCTCTCTGGTCAAATTAAAAATAAACTCTTAAATAAATAAAATAAAGATAAAATAATTCTCTTAAGAAAGAGATTCTGAGAAGTCCTATTAGGAAAAAAGAAAAGTAATAAAAAACTGGAAAAAAATATGCCAAATAGTAATTTTATACCTCAGTGGTAGAATTGTGATTCTTTTTGCTATTTACCTATGTTTTTTTTTTTAAAGAATTACTTTATTTAACATTTATATAGTTATTTTTTGACCAGAGTGAGAGAGAGAAAAGGGGAGAGAGAGAGAGAGAGAGAAGAAAAGTTAGAAGGCAAGTCGTCAGGTCTTGGAATTGAACTGCAGTCGGCCATGTGGGAGTCCAGTGCTCTTAACCACCACACCACCTAGTGGCCCCAGCTACTTACCTATCTTTTGTCAAATTTTCTGTAAGGGATGTGTTTTGTTTTTATAGTGGTTAAATATCATCCTTTAACATTTAAGTATTCAGTCTAATTATTTCAGAGATAATATTTCTTTAAACAGGGAAGTTGTGAGATTTCAAAGTTAATTAGAAAAATTCCTATAGATACTCATTGTAGATGTCATAATTAAAATGTGAACAATCTTTAGTAATATCCTCTATATGTTAATTTTTTATTTATACCCCCACAAAAGATAAAAGGCACTTAATTATTACATTTAAACAAATTCATACATCAGGATTGGAAGTAAAGTCATAGTTATGAGAAGATGGTAAAAATAGGTGGTGATAAAATTTTAAATTGTGACTAACATCCTTGGCTGTGATCTCACATATGTAAGTTGAAATTTAAATATATAATTACATATTAATTACCAAATACATTATAAATGTCACTTTAAGGAACCAGCAGTTGGCATAATGGCTATGTCACTGGACTCCCATGTTGTGAACCGTGGTTTGAGTCCCGGACCCGGAGGCCTAAACTCATGCTGGGCAGGTGTGTATGCGTGCCCAAGATCCCAAGAGAATTGAGAGCGGATTGCGGCATGGCCATCTCCCCCAGGGGTGATTTCTCACTTTGTCTCTCCATCTCTCTCCGTCTTTCTGGCAAGTGCACACGCCCTATAGCAAAAACCTCTCCAAAAAAAATTAGTAGTATTGCATTCTTGTAAAGGTTTTTTTTTTTTTTTTTTAAGAGGTTTTTGCCTTAGGGTACATGTGCTTGCTAAAGAGAGAGACAGGGGCTGGCAGGTGGCATGGTTTTTGAGGATGCTGAATTCCCACATGTCCGACCATGGTTCAAATCCTGGACCTGGCAGTTTACTTTCTCACTTTCTCTCTCTCTCTCTCTCTCTCTCACTCTGTCCCTCTCTGGTCAAATTAAAATAAGTAAATAAATATAATTAAATAAAATAATTCTTTAAAAAGAAAAAAAAGAGAAAGAGAGACAGACACAGTGAGAGGAAAACTAAGAAATTCCCCCCACTCACCCGGGGAGGGAGGGTCATGCCACAATTCCTTCTCCTCCCAGGATCTTAGGCACAAATGCACATACACCTGGCATCATTTTCAAGCCACCAGGTCCAGGACTAAACCATAGTCAGCCATATAGGAGTCCAGCAATATAACCACTACACAATCTGCTGGTCATTGTAAGGTTTCTTATATGGTAAACTTGCTTACCTAATATATAGTAAATGATTGGCATGATTTTTTAAGAGTATGTCTATATGTAACAGTAAACAGCTGCACTATTACTTTGATACATCATTAAGTGCTGTATACATGTGTGTCATTTGTACTGTCATGTGTTTTTTGACAACCTAGATGAGAAATATTCGATTATCTGACTTCACTGAATCCTTGAAAAAAATAAAGCGCAGCGTGAGTCCTCAAACTTTAGACGCATACATACGTTGGAACAAGGACTTTGGAGATACCACCGTTTAAGAAAATGCCTTTGTAAACCTGCAGAATATTTAATTTAACCACAAACATGTGATCTTCAATAGTTATCAGCTACAGAAACTCAACCTAAGTTTACAGGACTTTTCAGAATCTTATAATTATTTGTGAACCAAACTTGAAGATGAACCAGAAAACAAATAAAATATACAATGCAATGGAATATTTTGTTGTTGAAGGCGTTTTTGCCTTGGTCATGGTTATCTCAATGGTCACTGTAAGTTAGAGAAAAACAAAAACTGATTCTGGTCTTCTTTACCAATATAATCATTGTGTAAATAATATTTTGTATATTGTGTTGCAGATGAAAGTATTCCAGAGACAGTGACTGGTAGAAGACACAAGAGCCTTTATCTGTCTTCAAATATTTTTTTCTATTTTCTTTTCATAATGTTGTCTTAACTACGAGTGATTGGAATGCCAAACACTCTTAAGTTTCTTTTCTTCTTCGTCTTCTTTTTTTTTTTTTTTTTTCAACAAATCCAGGGTGCCAAATTAAACTTTTCTAAATAATAGTAATAGGAAAAAGTTATGTTGAGAGTTTTTATTTCCTTCATTATAACTCCATGGACATTAAATTGTGGTATTCCTTTCACTTATTTTCCTATTACCTTGCTACCAAACAATTTGGAAAGCAGTATAATGGGAACAGAGCAAATCTGGTAAAACATAGAAGGTTTGAAGGTTTGAGTTACTCTGTCATATACCATGTAGATCAGTCCTCATGTGACCTGCAGTATTTTTTTTTCCTAATGTATTTGTCAAAAATCTCTTGTAGACTGTTAACTTATTCCTGATGAAATTTAGTTTCTCCTAGAATTATCCTAATATTTAATAAAGAGAGCCAATTTTAACTGCTGTAAAAGTGATTCCAGTGTGAGAAAAGGGAAATACTGAAAAATAAGACATTTCTAATTTATTCCTTATTACTTTCTTACTGCTTACCAGATATTTAGAAGCCAGTGGAACTACCATCTTTTATTCTTAATACTTATTAATCCCTTCAATGAAACTTTTAAAGAATACTGAATTTTTATACATTGCATACATTTTATAGGTTTCTTGTGCTCACTTTATTAACTGAAAAGTTCTAGTCTGTTCTTCCTTTATTCCTCCCACCCACAAAAATGTACAGTAATTCTGTTTATTGTTTGTATAAATTATGCCTGGATTTTTATTATGAAAATGTCATTGTAGGAGGTAGAGATTCATATCATGGCCTTTTATATATTATAATAAAGGCAAATGAATATTTGCCCTTAGTTTACTGGTTGAAAGTTTGTTTACAGAATTTTTCTTTGGTGCTTAAATGGTGTTATGTAAAATGTCATGGGTAGAAGGAATAAATTTGTGGTAGTGACAAAGATTTTTGTTTAGGAAAGTTGTCTTGGTTTTGAGAGACATATACAATTTTAAAATTGCCCCTACTAGGTAAGAATTTTGTACTGAAGATGTACATTTTTAATTTTACTCTTGTTAAAGATTAAATATAGAAAATGTATGCTCTCTTAAGGATCATGTCGTTTGTAGCCATAACTTAAATCATGTCTCTTCCATTCAGTTCTTTAGAACATCCTGGAAAATGAAAGTGAAAGTTGAGAGAAATGAAAAAAGACAGTCTTAAACCAGAGATAATGCATAGTTTAGGTCAAGAGTAATGTCTTTTGACGGTCTCAAATATTAAAGCTCCAATTGTAAAATACTGATAATGATCATGAAAGGTGCTGAAAAGAAATGAGGAAATCCTAAATTAAAACATTTCCGTAAAGCTCATAAAATTTTACTCCATTTTCATTTAGAAAGGGATTAACACTTCTGATGTTGGATAACTGGCTAATCACATTGAAGGACTACGTAGTTCTAGCTTAACTTTGTAAATTGCCTTGAAAATTATCATGGTTATTATCACTGGAAACATTTTTAGATAACGAAGATTTCAAATGTTTAAAGAGTGAAGTTAATATTGAACTCAGATGAGTAAGAAAATTATATTACTGTGTGACGATCCATCCTCACATAGGAGTTACTTAACTTTCTTGATCAGGTTGACCTAATGCTAGAGAACTGTTTCTATGACTGACTTTGACCACTTTGTATTTAAAGCTGAATTTTTTAAAATAGAAGGGCCATAAAGATATTGTAGAAAGGAAGGGATTGGTTTGCTCTTTTTCAGTAAAGGTAGAAGTTGCAGGTTTTTCTGAATTAATATTAGATTTAGATGTGACCTATTAAATTTTGTATTGAGTTCTGTGTTATGTTACTTCCTAAAAAATAATGCTTCAGTTTAACCATTAGTGTGCTCTTCATGTTAATATGGCAGAGTTTTTTAATATAAACTGAAAACTCACCAATGTACTGGTCTTTGAACCAAGGGAATAAATCAGTAATAGCTGTCCAGGTGTCTTAAAGATAAAGGCTTATCTAAGACAGTCTGTCTCTCAAGGTTATTAATTTCCGACTTACAAATATGCTTATGCTTTAGAAGAATGAGAGGAAAAGTAGATAGTAGAATTATAATTTAAATACATATACAGTAGTCTTTGTTTATAGTGTAAAAATTCTTTATATTTTGTACAAAAACTAATTCTTTTGGTAAAAAGAACCACTTGCATTTTCATTTTGGGCTCTAAGTCAAAGGAATTTCCTTTAAATGCTTGTCTTACTTTTAGTCTGGTCTTTTGTACATTCCTTTAGAAGAAATTAATTAAAAGTTACAGCTGCATAAAGTGGGTTTTTATCCTAATGGATTGGAAATAAATGGTCAACTTTATTTTGTCTTTAGTTTTTTAATTTAAAACTTGAGATTTCTGGAATTACAGATGATAATGAAAGAGTAGCCTGTATTAGACTAACTCTTTTGCCAATAACAATTTTAAGCTGTGAACAAAATATGAAAAGTAATGATTAGAAGGGTCTGGAGAGCAATAAAAAACAAGGCATATGCTGCATGAAGTCCTTTATTAAAAAAGATACACATTGAGCCAGCAGGTGGCAGGGTGGTTAAGGTGCTGGGCTCCCACAAGGCCAAAGATGGTTCGAGTCCCGGACCCGGTGGCTTGAAAATCATGCCAGGCATGTGTGCACACATACCCAAAATCCTGAGAGAGAAGGAAGAGAAGGGATTGCGACATGGCCATTCCCCACTGGAGGGTGATTTCTCACTTTTCCTGTCTCTCTCTGGTGAGTGCATGCACCCTATCATAAAAACCTCAAAACAAATTGGCCTTTAGCCACAAGGTAATTTTCAGTTTGTATAGTTCACTTGGGAATAGAATTCAAGCAGAATGTTATGGTTTTGCTGGTTTCAGAGTCATTAGGCACTTCTAGAACTACTGGAAGTTAGAAGGGAAATCTTAAGAGTTTCAAGAAATAAGTCTGGGAACCAGCAATTAGTGTAATGGCTATGTCGCTCCCATGTAGTCGACTGCAGTTCGCGTCCCGGACCCAGTGGCTTAAAACTCACGCCAGGCGCGTGTGCGTGTGTGCCCAAGATCCCAAGAGGAGAATGGAGAAGGGATTGCAGCATGACCATCCCCCCTGGGAGGTGATTTCTCACTTTCTGTCTCTATGTCTCTCTCTGTCTGGCGAGCACACGCACCCTATAGCATAAAAACCTCTCCAAAAAAAAAAAAAAAGAAAGCCTTAAAATCTGCCTACAAATTCCTTTCAGATCCTTAGTGGATTCCAAAGTTGTACTTGTGCAGGGACCAGCAGTTGGTGTAATGGCTGTGTCGCTGGACTCCCATGTAGTTGACTACAGCTCGAGTCTTGAACCCAGTGGCTTAAACTCATGCTGGGCACGTGTGCATGTGTGCCCAGGATGCTGAGAGGAGAATGGAGAAGCCATTGCAGCGTGGCTATTTTCCCTAGGGGGTGATTTCTCACTTTCCGTCTCTCTGTCTCTGTCTTTCTGGTGAGCACATACACCCTTATAGCAAAAATCTCTCAAAAATAACAAACAAAAACAAAGTTGTGTACTGTGTGATATTTAAAGGATCCCAGCAGAAAGTGATAACTGAAGTCTAAAGTAATGAGCAGAGATAACAGCTACTCAAGAATATACTTTGAGGGACCAGCATTTGGCTTAATGGCTATGTCACTGGACTCTCATGTAGTCAACCGCAGTTCAAGTCCCAGACCCAGAAGCTTAAATTCATGCCGGGCATATGTACATGTGTGCCCAAGATCTTGAGAGTAGATGGTTTCTCGCTTTCTGTTTCTCTGTCTGTCTCTGTCTGGTGAGCGCACGCGCCCTATAGCAAAAACCTCTCCAAGAAAAAAAAAGGGAGGGAAAGAAAAATTGGGCAAGTGAGATATTTGAAGCAGTAATGCCTAAGATTTTTCCCAAATTGTTGAAAGATAACAACTTATGTATCCCTGAATAAGTATAATAAAGACCACATCTAGATTTATTATCAAAAATCAGTAAGTCAAAAGGGCCAACTTGTGGCATGGTGGTTAAGGTGGCTGGATCCCACATGGCCAGCCATACAGTTCAAGTCTTGTACTGGGAGACATGAAAAACATGCTATGTATTTATGCTTGTACCCAAAGTACAGGAAGGAGAAATGGTGAAAGGACTGTGGTGTGACCATTTCCCATGTGTGAGGGGATGCTTTCTAATTTTCTCTTTTTCTCTCTTTAGGCAAAACATGTGCCATCTGGCAAACTTGGAAAAAAAAAAAAAAGTAAAAGCCCTATGTGGAATGAGATAGATAACATTATATTCAATAAACTAAGAGTGATTCCTGGGGCTGGCAGGTGCTGTGGTGGTTTAAGGCACTGGACTCCCACGTGATTGACCATGGTTCAAGTCCAGACCCTGGCAGCTTGCTGTCACACTTTTTTTCTCTTTCTCTCTCTTTCTAATCAAATTAAAAATAAGTAACTAAGGACCAGCAGATGGGGTAGTGGTTATGTTACTGGATGACTCCCTGTAGTCGACCATGTTTTGAGTCCCGGAACCATGCTGGGTGCATATATGTGCATGCCCAAGATCCCACTTACACACCAGTACTGATGAGCATATGTAATACTGATGTCTTGCCTTCCAAATTAATTACTGTCTTAGGCTGCTTGGAGTGCCATTATAAAATAACAGACTGGGTTTAAACAATAGAAATGTATTCTCACAGTTCTGTTAGTTGAGAAGTCCAAGATCAAACTTCTAATCAATTTGATTTATGGTGAAGGCCCTCTTCCTGGCTTGTAGATTACTACCTTCCCATGTTGTCCTCATGTGACACAGGAAGAGCAAGCTCTCTGGTACGCTACCTCAAATAGCACTTAATCCTACCATGAGAGTCTCACCCTCATGAGCTTATCTGGGTTATCTCCCAAAGGCCATATCAGCAAATACATCATATTAGGATTAAGGCATTCCAACACAGGAATTTGGGGATTGGGGAACATGAACATTCAGTCTCTAACATCCACTAAAAGAACCAGAGCTCCCTGATGAAAAGGCTAATTCTAGAGCTGGAAGGGGAAAAATAAAAGATGAGCTCGGAACATCTTGGGCCAGAAAAGGAAGTGCTCAAAGATCAGTGAGGATGATTTGCTGAAATGACACAAGCCAAATGAAAAGGCTCTCAATGTACAAATCAGATTCAAAATAAGCCATTGTAGTAATAGGTTACTATATGCGTAGCTGGATGTGTAACTGGATAAAATAAGAAACCATAACCTCATGTGAATGTATAAATAATTAACAAATTAAAAGTGTGATGAGTAGATATTTATGTAGTTTAAAAATCACCTCTCATGGGACCAGCAGGTGGCGTGGTGGTTGAGGCGCTGGACACTCCCACATGGCCGACTGAGGTTCAAGTCCTGAATCTGGTGGCTTGCTTTCTCACTTCCTCTCTCACTCTCACCCTCTGTTTCTCTCTGATAAAATTTAAAAAAAAAAAAAAGAATATATAAAAAATAAAATAATTATTTAAAAAATCACCTCCCCAAAAATAATGATTAGAAAGGGTGAAAGTTATTTTAATGTAAAAACATGGCAAATACCACCTTAATATAGTGATGAAAGTTACTAAATT